TCTATACTTTTTATTGTGAAGTATCTCTTGCTTACAAGAAAATTTAGAATATCACAAATAGCCACCGACTAAAACATAAAACTTCAGGGAAGCTAGGGACATTCTTGGGTTTCTCCCAAAAGATGTCCTCCGACTGTCCTCTGGGCATTTAGTGCTGTCTGCCCATTTCTGAAGGTCCTAAGCCCAGCATGTCCAATCTGGGGCCTGGCACACTAGATGGAACATATTTAACCTGCCACTTACATGTGCCTGCCAGTATCTCCACACTGACCCCAATGTAGGACAAGTCACTCCTGAGTTATTCTGTCCCATATGGTTGATGAAAGCCCTTGTCAGTACAGCACTCTCTCTCTCTTCAGGCTGGACACAACTCCAGGAGACCGGGCTGGGCGCCTGGGCCCTGAGTGTGGCTCAAGGGTGGCAGAGGGTCATCCCTGCTGGGAACCTTGACCCTAAGGCAGAAGGTGTTGGAGGGTGACATGACTCACCAGGGCCTTCTTGGTCAGTGGCTGGGTGACCGTCCTTCCAGTGCCCATGGTGACTGAGGGAAGGGCAGGCTGTGCGCAGGGAGAGAAAGAGAAAGGCACCGTGAGAGATCAGGTAGAGGCCCAAACCATAGCACACACAGGACAGACAGACACACCCACCAGTTCATAGTGAAGGCACACGGTAGGCCTATGGCACTCACGGCCCTCTACAAATCCCCCAGGAAGCAGTAACTATGTCCCTGGGTGCAGTGACTTCATGATATATTTTAAACAGAATTTAATTTTTATAAATGTATTCTTTCTGGACTTGTGGTCTGACTCCTATCCCTGCACCATGAGGTCGACAGCATGGCTCCTTTTACCATGGGAGGAAGCCACCAGAACAGACTTACCTAGAGGGCACAATGGGTCCAGAGCCCCTGACACCTATAGATGTCCTTTAAAATATCATAATTTTTTTTAATTACGAGAGAAAAGGCAAATCTAATGCAGACTGTATTATATTTGTCCTTATAGCAATGCAATCACAACTATAATTTTTTAGTCATTTAAACAGAGGCCAGGAAGTCACAGTGGCCCTGGAAGTGGCAAGTGCACAGGGCTGGTGACCTCTGAACCTAGTGTGGCCTCAGATCTGTGGCTGCAGAGCCAGGAGTAGCGGCTGCCCTGCTGCTGCTCCTCCTCCTCTGTCGAAGCTTTCTGGCATTTCCTGCCGTCCACTGTTTCTAAGAAACAAGGAATTCCCACCGTGGAGTGTTTGGTGTGGGGGCTCTGGAACATGGATGCCTGGGCGTCAACTTGGGTGAGTCTCTGAGCCTCAGCTTCCCCATCTGCAAAATGGGGATGGTGAGGGTTTCCACCTGAGTTACCGGGAGGCCTATAAAATGCCCAGAACGATACCCTGAGCACCCAACACACACTCCCTGAACAAACCCACCCCGGTCACCATGGGGTCGGGGCCTCTGACCCTCTTCCTTAGCCCCACACCTGGCGACCACACACGCCCTGCCCTCCCGGGGGCCGGGGAGCCTCTGAGGGCAGGACCGCCATGGGCTGTGGGGCCCGCGGGCAGGCAGCGCCGCCAGGCCCGCCTGTGCAGGAGGGCGTCTTCCCCGCGCTCCCGGGAGGGCACCCCCCGTCGCACCCTCACACACGTCAGCCGCGCCCACAGACAGAGGCGCAGGGGCGCACAGACAGGGGGAGGCTCGGACAGGAGAGGCGCAGCCCCACGCGCACAGACACACTCACACCTGACACACAGACCGGCGCCGAGGAAGAGACCAGTCACAGGGGGACCCCTGGACGGCGCCCTCACGCTAAGACGCCGCGGACGGAAACAAAGGCAGACGCGCACACGGACGTGGACACTGAGGGACCCCGGAGAGACCGAGACGGGCAGCCGACACACACACACACACATATGAGCAAAGGCGAGACACAGTAGGACACCCGGACACACGCGGTGACAAACACGAAGAAACACAGCGCCCATCCAGGAATCTGGGTGCAACACACCCACAGGCACCCCCTTCACCCGCCCCATCAGCACACACGCCCTTCTCAAGTGCACACGCCCCTTCCCCGACCTGCAAACTCTCTACTCCCACACCCGCCCGGTCCGCGGCCAGAGTCACCCTCAGGAAAGTGACCGGATCCCCCAAACTCCACCGGCCGCACTTCACCGGCGCGAAAGGGCGGCTACACTTCCCAGAATACCGTGCGTCGCCGCCGCCGAAGCTACCGCCTCCCCTCAGAGCGAGCGCTGCCAAACGTACCCGAAGTGGAGAGGGTGGCGCAGGCGGTTCCATGTCCCAGAAGCCCCCGCGCCACGAGGGTCAAGGAGGCGGGCGTTCCTGGGGGATCAGGAGAAAGGTCGAGCAGGAAAGCGGGGAGAGGAAGACACCAGAGAGCAGCAGGATGGAGGCAAGGGAGGAGCGGGTAGGACCCGCGGCGTGGGGTCCAGGGAGAGGGAGGAGAGGGAGAGGCAGGTGCAGGGACGTGCTTATCAGGACTGGGAACTGAGTGAGCTGGAGAGGAAGGAAAGGGAGCGGGAGGGGAAATTGTAGAAAAGGAGGGGCGTGGGTGGAGGCGGGAAAAGATGCTGTAGCTTCTTTGTAGAAGTCTGCGTCCAGCCAGGGACTCTGTCGTGCTGACTTGCAGAAAATTTGTTAAGTCTGTGGAGACGCAAGAAAGCAAATGATGGCAATCAGAGAAGATATATTAACCCTTCGCGTTATGTGCCAGCCCCAGTTCTGGGTATGCTATTGTTACAGAATCAAAGTGGGGTTTCTACACCCTGCCCAGAGGCAAGGTCTAGAGGCAGAGGCCGGTGAGAGAGGAAAGAGGGATTTCATTCAGATGCTGCAGGGCCGGGGAGAAAGGCAGACTCTTGTCTCAAAGCCCATCCCCTCCGGAAAACCCGCGGAAAAACCCAGCCGTCCTCAGCCCCACCAGAACAGAAGGCAGCGTCCAGAGCTCCTTCTCCCATTCAAAGTACCGTCTTTTGAGAACCTCAGGTGGCCACTGAGCAGTCACCCAGGCAGCTCAGCTCGCTCCCGGCCGCTGTCCAGTTTCAGGCCCCCTCCTAGAACTCACAGGCGCCAACGTGGGCCAGGCCACTTCCAGAGCCACAACATGAGGCGAACTCACCGGTTAGCACATTTGCGAGGTGGGCAAGAGAGCGTCCCTTACTTACCCTGAGTTTATATGAGTTTCAGGTGTGGGACGGTCTGACTGCCCAATGAACTTCTCAAAGTTCCCCGTGCTGGAGGAGGGTTCACTGGAGACCAATCGTTTCCTTTCCCCAGGCTAGACTGACAGGCTAGTCTTTGGTCCAGCACCTCCCCCCCGCCCCCCGCCGCCATTGTGACCTCCTTTATGCCTGTGCCTGATTTACTTTGTACCACCCCCAATCAGGTACCAGAAGCTGATAGGTGGGGTTTTCCCCCATCCAATCATCTTGATAGACTAGCACGTGCTCACTGCAATGCTTCCTATTACCACCATCTTGCCCAGGACTGGGATCTGCCTCCAGGATAGGATGCTTCACGTGCAAGGCAGGACATCGTTTACGCAGGCAGTGTGGTCGCTCTCTGCCTCATCAAAGCCAAGGCAATTAGAGGTTTCCTCTGGTGGCCCCGTGTGTACTTGCCCTCTGCCTGCTCCTAGTGGTCCTGCCAGGTTACCGGTATCATTAAGATGTACAAATTCATTTAATCCTCTCAACGAAGCTACTTTCTAATGTGTGCATTAGAACACCAAAAAGTAGAAAAAGTTCAAAAGTAGAAATGTGTGCATTTTGTCTTGTGACAAAAGAGGGAAGTCAAAAGAGAGGGAACTGGGGTGCTGGCATGGGAAAGAGGGTCTCCAGGCTGGGGCTCCCTTGTACCATAAACAAAGCCAAGTACAAAAACATTTTGCTGAATGTCTCAGTTACCACATAAATTCCAACTGCAGCTGCCTTAGGTGGTGATTAATGACTTCTTTTTCTATCATTTTTAATGCTCAGCAGAGGATATGTTCATTGATTTTAGAGAGGAGCGTTAATCGGTTGCCTTCCATAGGCGCCCCGCCTGGTATTGAACCTGTAACCTAATATGTGCCTTGACCAAGAATGTCAAGAATGGAAGAATGGAAGCCACAATATTTCGGTGCACAGGACAATGCTCCACCAGCCAGAGTTGAACCCCGTTTTTGGTAGACCTGTTCTGGCTTCGACCTAGGCAGTCTGAGCTGTCCATGGTACTGAACTGAAGCCTTTCCCCACAGACCTGGCTTTTGTGTTGAGTCAGACCAGCTGAAGCTGTTCATGATTGAAACTCTAGGCAGAACGCACAGCTCTGTCTACCTCTGACTCCTTCAAAGCGCAGATCCACCTGGAAAGAGCCCTACTGTTGTCTGGAAATAAAGTTCTCTGGTCTATGGGGAGTGTGGGATGAGAGCAGATGAGGGCAAAAACTGCACAGTCACTTTTAAGAGGAAGCTTTGGCTTTTAGGATGGTAGAGCCTGGCTACAACCTGACTGGAATTATTAACAGGGTTTTGAAAACATTTTTGTGGCAAAAAAATGTACCCTCAAAAATGAAAAACAAAGGACAGATGTGCCAGTATTTAGGATGATGACTACCTTGGGTTGGAGAAAATTGGGGGAGTGCTATATAGTTGTATGTGTTTTGGCAAAGTTCTAGGTTTTAAGTTGTGAGGTGAGAGTCAGAGGAGGATATTATAGTGTAGTTACAAGAATACATCATGGCTCTGGCTGGTGTGGTTCAGTGGATTGAGTGCCAGTCTGCAAACTGAAACATCATATGTTCAATTCACAGTCAGGGCATATACCTGGGTTGGGGGCCCATATTTAATTATCATAACATATTTAATAATGATAGTGCAAATCTCATAGTAAGAGGTTGATACACTTGGCATTGTAATTATGGGATGGGTAATGTTAACTGGGCTCATTCAACGGAGGAGAAAAGTGGGGCTCAATCCATGCACCTGCAGATATTCACACAAACCTCCTACAAAGACAGGATGGCGGTTCCCTGTCTGTTGACACCTAAGAACTGGAGGCCATGAAATGTGGACCTGGATAAATCTGCAGCCAGCTTGCTCCCTATAGGCTCAAGATCAGCCATCCCACATAGAGGGGATAAAAACAACAGAAGCATGAAAAGATTTAACTTAATTTAAAAATAAATGGGCATAAACTCTCAGTTATGCAACATGAAATAATTGTAGAGATCTGCTGTACACTGTCCTCTAATTAAGATTACCTTTTGTACATCTGGCGAGGTGGCTCAGTTGGCCGGAGTGTGTTCCTGTACACCAGGAGATTGAGGGATAGGTTCCTGATCAGGACATGTACTTATGTGGTGGGTTCAGTCCTGAGTTGGAGCATGTGCAAGAGGCAACTGATTGACACATTGATTTCTTTCTATCTCATCTCTCCCTCCCTTCCTCTCTCTGGTGTCAATAAACATATCCTCAGGTGAGGATTTAATTTTTTAAAAAAAAGGAAAAAGAGGGTAGCCTTGGCTGGTGTGGCTCAGTGGATTGAGTGTAGCATGCGACCCCAAAGTTCACAGGCTCCATTCCTGGTCAGGGCACATGGCTGGTTTGCTAGCCATGTCCCTGGCTGGGCATGCTGGAGGCAAACCAATTGATGTATCTCTCGCACATTGCTGTTTCTTTCTCCCTTCCTTCCCTTCTCTCTAAAAATAAATAAAATCTTTAAAATAAAGGAGGGTAACCTCAGGGGTTTTTGCCCACAAGAAAGTAAAATATCATTTGAAAGGCAAAATAATTAAAAATGTAAGCTTTCTGCTTTTCAGTGTTCTGCACCTCTTATGCTTTTGTATGCTACCATATAATAAATTACACTGAAGTGTTATTTCTTCTCAAAAAAATAAAACACCAATGACAGTGCACGGTAGATACTGTTGTGAATTGTTATTTGTCATGTAATGCCGTATCTAAGAGCACCTCCCATTATCAGTGTCTTCGGCTCTTCCTCACCATTTCTTACTCAGACAGATCCTAATATATTTATCCAAACTTCTAAGGACAAATCCTTGGGTGTTGCCATTATTTCCTTGCTTCCAAATATGACTCTCCTAAGCTCTGGCTGAGAGGACACTATCCTATCCCATGATATCTATACAGCTGTCTTCTCTTTGCTGCCAGGGGCTGTGATCGATGTCACCTGAGAGAGGGCCCCCCTGACTGCCAGAGCTGAAAAAGCCCCTTCCTCCACTCTCTACCTCATCACTTGTGATCTCGCTCAGACATGAGCAGAGGGGGCTCCATGAGACAGGGGGCTGTGGTTACCTCACTGCTGGACTCCCAGCGCCTGGAACAGTGGAGGAAGTGCTCAGATACTTGTTGACTAAGTGACTCACTGTTCACCTGAGCCTCTCGAGATTCCTGCTTCTCGGTGGATGCTGAAATTCTAGGTCTTTAAGTATTAGGCATCTACATTCTTATGTCTTCAAACTGCCTCTTTCCCACCAAACAGAAAACAACTCAGGGTAGTTCTGGACCCAATTCCCTGACCATACTCACATGTCACATGAACTTGCCTGTGGGACGTTGAATTCAGTGAAAAAATGCCAGCCTTATACTTGCCTCTCCTTCTCCTCTCCTTCTCACCACCTCTCAAGCCCCTCTGGAAAGCAGGTGATCACCTGTAAGGACACATTCCCTGCTAGACAGCTCTTTAAGAAATTTGGGCCAAAGGAAAATTCCCCTGGTGACATTTCATGACATGGGGGATGTTTATTGGATAAATGAGCATCCAGAATAAAGGAGATGGGAAATCCATCGAGCCTCCTGGTGCTGCTGGTGGAGGTGTGTGTGTGCTGGGAAGATGGACAGATGTAATTTCCCGCTAGTATTTCTCCCTGGTGATGGGAGATAAGCAAATCCCAGGGAAACCTGTTCTGATAACAGGCATGAGACAATAGTTGTACCGAAATAAACCTCTTGTCCATCTTAGGAAGTGAGGATAAAATTATTAGAATAATGGTGCATAATAGAACCTCATATGTATTAGGTATTTTTCTAAATGCTTCCCTGTATTACTCAATTTGTTCTTCACAACACTATAAGGTAGCTACCATCCTTACCCTCGTTTTACAGATGAGAAAACTGAGGTACAGAGGAGTTCTTCTGAAAGTCCCTTAACGAGAGCAGGGCACAGTAGAATTTGGATGTGGCAGTCAGCTTCCTGGAAGCTATGACCTTGACCACCCCCATCTTCATGACCCTGTGGCCTTGCTCACATTCCATATACCCAAGTCTGTCCACCTGCAATAACATGTAAGTGATGTTAAGAGTCTGTAAGGGGCCCAGGCACAGAGTGCAGCTCAGTAACTGACAGTAGAGCTGTTATGTTCAGTGAGAGGGCCCAGTGCATAGATACATGGCCAGGATTCTAAGGGCTAATCCACACTAAACACTTAGGACAGACCCAAAGAAGTGGTTAGTGGTGGTGGTGTTGCTACGCATTTTTAAGAGGACCCACCAAATTTATAAAATGCAACATAAGCTTTAGAATATACAGTAAAAATAGATTGAGTGTACTCTATTTTTCTTTGCTTTTACTGTTTCTAGAGAGAGGGGAAGGAAGGGAGGAAGCAAGGGAGAGAACCGATGTGAAAGAGAAACATGGATCGGTTGCCTCTTGCATGTACCTTGACTGGGAACCAAATCCACAGCCCAGGCATGTGAGCTGACCAGGTGAAATGAGCTGGTGACTTTTTGTGGTCCACACTGGACAGGGCAAAAATAACTAAGGCTTTAGAGCTCCACGGTCCAATGCAGTAGCCAGTAGCCACATGTTCAATGTGAAAACAAATTAAAATTAGACACAGGTCAGAGAACATAACAAGAATCAACCAAGAAATGCATAAATAAGTGGAACAACACATCGATGGTTCTCTCCCTCTAGAATCAATTAAAAAAATTAAACACAGGTAAAAATTCTGTTCCGAGGCTGCGCTGCCCACATGTCAAATTCAACTGCCCATTGTCGTCAGTGGCCCCCACATGGACAGCACACAGAGCTTCCTGTAAAAGTGCTGGGGGCAGCCCTGTTCTGGGGGGTCCCTAGAGGTGTTGTAGGAACTGTATCTAAGTTTGCTTAGGAAACCCACCTAAGGGTAGATTTCCTTAACCTCCTCAGAGAGGAAACAGGCTCAGGAAATGACTGCGCTGTATGGAGTACACAGAACTGGGGTTTGAACCCAGCAGACCTCGTGCCAGAGTTACTGCTCCCAATCCATTCCATCACCTCCTTCTGCTAGATCTTGTGGGCGCTGCTGGGCAATTCCCTTTCCTTCCATTCCCCACATCCTCATCTTCCTCCTACACCTTTCCTTCCCTTTTTTCACTCTTCCTCTCCTCCTCCGCTCCCTCCAAGCTCCTCCTCCTCCATTTGTTCTCATAGGGTCTCAGGTAAGGCAGCTAGATGTGGCCTCCAGGCCAGACAGTACCCTCCCCAGACCCCAACCCATGGTGGCTTTAACCCCCTTCCCTGCCCACAGCACATCCTCCTTTTGAGTCTGCCCCCCAGCCCCTGGATTCACTGGCCTGCAGGGATTTATTTTATTGTGCAGAGAATTACAGCTCTGAGCCTTGGTTTCTTCAGAAGGAAACCCAGCAAAATAAGGGCTCTGAGCCATAATTAATTACCAACTTATTAATAAATACATGTTATTTTATTAATAGAGCACCATTCTTGTATCATTTGCTTTTTATTATTATTTGTAACAGATCCCTATTATCATCAATAATGAAATTTTAAGTACACCATGACTAAGGCTGTGGGTCATCCACAGACTGGATGATGCCCCCACCTGACTGAAGGCACTTGATTTTCACAAGAATTCCAGCCAGCAAGGGGTGGTGGGGGATGGTCTGTGATCTGAGAGAGGATTGTTCTGCAACTTAAACAGTCCTGCAAGGGGCGGGGGGTGGCCTACTATGTAGGGTTTCTGCAGGTAGGGCCCTTCCCCTGATCTCTGAAGCAGAGAGTCTGACCATTCCCAAGCCAGGAATGCAGGGCTGGGAGGTGCAGGTGGCCCCATACTTGGGAAAGGCTTGCTGGATTCCTGGGGTTCCATGGGGTATTTCTGCCTCCTCCACCCAAGCCTTGACCCACAAATTAATGGGAAAGCTGAAAGCTCTATCTTTTGCACCTGACAACTGTACAAATGACATTTGTCTCCTTTAAAACTTTTATATTAAAAATATTTAACAAACAACTATGAGAAAATTTGGCATCTGAATCTATTACTGTTAACCCATAACAATGAAAACAAAAATATCCCCTCACAAACCACATGGCAACTTCTATTGTAACAGGGAAACTGGGAGCTGGGTTTGGGGAAAACAAGGAAACCCAAGGGTGGCAACAACCTCACCCCTGAACTAGATCCAGACGTGTGCAACCAAGTGAGAATGTTCCCATGGAGCCCACCTCCCTTTCCTCCACTTTACTACTGAGGAGATGGAGACCCAGAGACACCAAAAGGGTTGTCCAAGCTCACAGGACAGTTTAGTAAATCTCAGTCTGGAGCCACAGAGCCCCTGTGGATGCTCTAGAAGCAGCTTGTGTGCATGGCATGGCCTGTCGCCAGCACCCATATTCCAAAACCCACCTGGGTAGGACTTGCCGAGTCTTACCGTGGGCTCCAGTATCATTTCTGGCACTGGTGCACGAGCTCAGGACCAGCCCATAAGGTGTGGATACAGAGGTTCATTGTGATCCTTGCTACATGTGCACCTTCCTTTAGTGTTGTGTAAGGCAGATGTTCTGACTGAAGGTTTTTCCACACTTGCCACACTCGTAGGGCTTCTCTCCCATGTGGATCCTCTGGTGGAGGGTAAGTGAGAAGTTCCTGACAAAAACCTTGCACCACTGGCCTCACATGTACGGTTTCTTGGTGGTGTGGATGTGCTGGTGCCTGATGAGGCTGGCATCCTGGCTGAGAGCCTTACAACACTGGCCACACTGTAGGGCTTCTTGATGGTGTGGCTGTCATGGTCCATTGCCAGGGATGAGTGCCTTGGCGAGTCCATCTGGCAGATGGAGCCCTCGGCAGTCTTATCCCTTGTATGTGTCCTCTGGTGCACGAGGAGGTGC